ATTTGCTGTTGCTATGGAAATGTAATACTGAGGGCTCCCCTGGGAAAGCTCTTGTTACACTGAAGACCCAGTGAACGAAAGCAATGCACTGCTTATGTTACAGAATTATTTCTAATAGGTTAGCTTCGGCTGAGTTTGACAGTGATCCAGACTCTGCAGCTGTTCCTCAGTTAACCCCTTGGTGTGAGAGCGTAGAGGTGGAATGCAGGATCTGGTTTGAAGATGAGGAAAGGTTAAACCACAACGCCATGTCCCATGGACTAGGCTTGGAGATATTTTCCTAATCAACCTCTTCAGGGAGGTTATGACTCAGCTCTGGAGCAGGTGGGACTTGAACTCAGACCTCCTAGCTCAGAGTTAAGGACAGTACCACTGTGCCACCATAGTCCTGCATGAAACAGCTTGTATTGCAACAGGTTGAGAATCCCTTTAGTGTGGAGGCAGGCTGGTTGGCCCATCTAGTCCACACCGACCCCCTGAAAAGCATCCCACCCAGACCCACCCCTCTACCCTATCCCTGTAACCCTGCATTTCCCATGGCTATCCCACCCAGCCTGCACATCCCTGAACACTACAGGCAATTTATCATGGCCAATCCACCCTAACCTGCACATCTTTGGACTGTGGAAGGAAGCCGGAGCACCCGGAGGAAACCCACGCAGACACGGGGAGAATGTGCAAACTCCACACAGTTGTCTGAGGGTGGAATCGCCACTCTGCCACCTAAATATTAAGAACATTAAGGCATACTCTTACCGAGGCTTTTTTTTAAATGATGTAAAGGGTTGATCACATCGATCAAGAGAAACTCTGGTAGGAGAGTCCAGAACTAGGGCCAAAACATTAAAATTCGAGACACGCCATTCAGGGATGATGTCAGGAACCACTTCCCCACAAAAAGTGGGAGTGGAGTCTGGAACTTTCTCCCCAAAAGATGCATTGCAGCATCTTGCCAAGTCTCCTTAGACAGCACCTTCCAAACCCACCACCACTTCCATCTAGAAGGACAAGGGCAGCAGATACATGGGAACGCCACCCCCTGCAAGTTCCCCTCTGAGCCACTCACCACCCTGACTTGGAAATATATCGCCGTTCCTTCACCATCGCTGGGTCAAAATCCTGGAATTCCCTCCCGAAGGGCATTGTAGGCTGCAGCGGTTCAAGGAGGCAGCTTACCACCACCTTCTCAAAGGCAACTAGGAACGGGCAATAAATACAGGTCCAGCCAGAGACACTCACATCCGATGAATGAGTTGAGAAAAATGTTGTTGAGGGCAGGGGTGGGTAGCCGCACGGTGGTTAGCGCTGCTGCCTCACAGCACCAGGGAATCAGGTTCAATTTCAGGTGACTGTCTATCGATGGGCTGAATGGCCTACATCTGCTCCTGTGTTTTATGGTCTGAAGAAGGGTCCCGACCTGAAACGCCAACTTTCCTGCTCCTCTGATGCTGCCTGGCCTGCTGCATTCCTCCAGCTCCACACTGTGTTATCTCTGACTCCAGCATTGGCAGTTCTTACTATCTCTAATGTTCTGGTGACCTGGGGTTCAAATCCTGCCACAGCAGATGATGGAATTTTGTGCTCAATAAAAATCTGGAATTAAGAATCTAATGATGAGCATAAAGCCATTGCTGATCGTTGGGGGGAAAGGCCCATCTGGTTCACTAAACTCCTTGAGGGAAGAGATCTATGATTCTTACCTGGTCTAGACCCACAACGTGGTTTACTCTCAACTCCCCTCTGGGCAATTAGGGATGGGCAATAAATGTTGACCCTAGCCAGCCACATCCACATTCAATCAATGAAATATAGGGAGTTAGCCAGATAATTCTTCCTCACATCTGTGAAGGAAAGAACAGAGAAAGAACAGAAATTGCTGGAAAAGCTCAGCAGGTTTTTATTACGTATTTAACTCGCTGCCACGTCTCTTCCAGGCATTAAAAAAGCTTCACTTCTCTCTGTGACAGGAAATTCGTTCCAACAGCCACTAATTGTCCATTAACAGTTATTCATTCTCCCAGGTTGATCAATATCCACTCCTTTGTCTGTCCAACTGTTCTCTTCTCTCTCTTTGGGCTCTATCCCCACCATTTACTCCCCCACCCTATCTTCTGCATATAAACTAACTTTTCCCTCGCTACCATCAGTTCTGAGAAAGAGTCACTCGACCCGAAACATTAACTCTGATTCCTCTCCACAGATGCTGCCAGACCTGCTGAGCTTTTCCAGCAATTTCTGTTTTTGTTCAGTTCTTCCTCACACTGCAAGCAAAATGGCTGTCACATTGAGGAGGGAGTTTGTAGTGGGAGAGAGATCCACTGAGGTCTTTCTGGAGGGATTTGCAGTGGGAGAGAGATCCACTGAGGTCTTTCTTCATTTCTGAAGAAGGGTCTAGGCCCGAAACGTCAGCCTTCGTGCACCTCTGATGCTGCTTGGCCTGCTGTGTTCATCCAGCTCTACACCTTGTTATCTCTGGCTGTCACATTGAACTGTTCAATAATAACGATTTGTACAAAGGCCACAACGTGAAAATGAACGTTTGTTTTCATTTAAAGATAGAGGATGTTATTTTTCCCGAAAAAATTCTCGATGGTTATCCCAACTGGCTAGCAGAATGTCTCCCCCTGGAAAGGAGCAAATCTCTGGTCTCATTTCATGAAAATGGCCTCATTTGATAAATATTGTATCTGATTAACCTGTGCAACTATATGCAAATGTCTACAAGTTAAAGATTTCCCAAGTGTTAGGCACGTTTCTTTGTGAATGAATTAATTATAGAGTGAAAACACCTCTGATCAGTGAGATTCTGCTACCTCACATGATTTAGCAGCAAAGAGTCAATGTTGGCTATTTAAAGAATGTGAGAATTAAAAAATGCTACTTTTGAGGGTGAAAGTTTTCACAGGAAAAGATTCCTGATGTATTTTCCAAACCTCACTGGATCAGCAAGCGCCTCGGTGCTAACTGAATGGTGAAAATAGGGAAAAAATACATTTCACAACATCGAGGTTAAAGATTGAGGAAACGTGTTGGATAAAGTGCATTGCACAGAGTAAAGCTCTCTCTACACTGTCCCCATCAAATACTCTCAGAACAGGCACAGCACAGGGTTAGATACAGAGTTAAGCTCTCTCTACACTGTCCCCATCAAACACCCTCAGAACAGGGACA